TGGAGGCGGCTTGCGATGCGGTCTGATGCATTCCACAAACCTACACCAAGTCGCCATCAAATCTATACATTGGAATTGCGACTAGGGGCGGCTTTTGCAGGTGCTGTTTCCTTCTCCCTTACATAGATTGCAATGAAGAATAATAAACCTACTGTTCATGAGAGGAACATTTTTGTGATTTCTGTAGCATAGTCATGACGGGACGATGCTAAACAGCGTTTAATTATGGGGAATAAACGAGTTATGTGCGAGAAACAATCGGTGGTGTGATCTGACGTTTAGGTAATGGAAAACGTGATGTAACAGTTTCCCACAATGATTGCAGATGGTATGATTCAGTACTGCAGGGCGACTAATTCTATCTGTTCTGGTTCCCGGCAGAGCGCGGCGTCGCTGGGGATTCGCTCTACAACTTGGTCGGCATCTTTCCTCGGTTATCACTTCTCTTCCAACATACATCGAGGTTTTCTGATATTCCAGCAACTGGAGTCCCCTATTGGAGCTCCACAAATTCAATAAACTGCTCGAGTGGGGCTCATCTGCGCTGGCTCGGGACTTCTGATAATGCCTCGAGGGATTCCGCTCCATGCGACCTAAATTCTCACGCCAATTTCGTCACGGTATTCCCGACAATGGATACCAATTCATCATAATTTTCTAGTTTATGGTAAGTATCATTCTCTACTCATTACTGTCTATTTCATGCTAAAGAGACATCCGCACAATTCATATCTTGGTGTAAAATGACAAGGCAGCCAACAGTGTGACCCCCATTTGCTTGTACTTGCTGCGTCCCTTACTCCGAGGTATAATCAACTTGCAGAATTGAAGTCACGGCCGATTCATGATCATTAGTCGCGTAGGAGAAGTGTCATTTATATAGCCAGCAAGCAGATGCAATAATACCACAGTAGTGAAATCCTTGAAAGTAGTAAAACACGAGTAAATTAATAAAGAATAAATTAATAAATATTACACACTTCTAGCGCATGTAGAAATACCTAAAATTATCATTTTTTGCCAATGAACATATAGCTTGAAATTTCATACAATAAAGTTACAAATATGATATGTTTACCTGATTTTTAAGAAATTTTCAAGCACAGGTTTTCAACAGATTATGTTCTGACAGTCAATTTCATATACCTACCAGACATCTATGCATACCGATGTTGCTTAAAAACTCAGAGGCAAATGTCACAAATATAAATGCTCAGAATGGCTACATTTTATGCAGTTTCTCATAATACTGGCAAAAAGTGATCATTTCTCATTCACCTATATGATACAGAAGGTTGTAGCATTTTTCTGCAACACCTGTTTTAATCCAGTTACTATTCCAGCTGTTAGAAAACATCTAACATTCTGAAGAGTTTCATCGGTAACATAGAATTTTTAACATACGGATGTATCATTTTAGCAATGTCTTTCTACAAGATATTGCTCTGTCATTATCAATCTTTCTCTCACCTAATTGTGCGAGATATATCATTCTAAATCACTGATTGTGTACCGGAGCACCCTATCAGACATTTTTTAATAAGCCAGTAATTGCGATGAATTTGAGGAATTGTACTACTTTAACTATATTTATCCGTTTGAGCCAGTATTCGAGATGATTTTAATTGCACTTTACTGCGGTCGAAGTGAAAATATTGGGCTATGTGCCTACGACCCAAGTTTGGCAGCTGAAAGTGGTTTGCTCCTTACTACTTGCCGATATTATACAATATTAAATCTTCAAACGTAATGCAGGAAATAGACAAATATTTAATAATATTAATATAAAAGTTTGTAGATATTACAATAAGTATTAAATGCAACATTGGTAGCTGTTTGATAAAATCTAATGGAGAGTACGGTGTAACAGATATGAACTGGAGAAACAGTGAATTATTTATTCAACAATATGTGACATAAATTTAAAATCGCTTAGATCAGTATTTTGGAATGAAATCATTTTGCCTTTACATATTTTCACTTTAGAGATTTGTAAAACGCTAGCCAGCAAGTGTCTTAGAAATCTTAAGACCAATTTCTGGAGTAATATAGCTTCACATAAGTAATAGTACCGCTAAAAAAAGCCAAAGAATTATTATCCGAATACACGCGGACTAAGCAGTTGTTTTGTTCTTCACAATGTAATTACTACATGGTGACCTTAACGTAGAGAATTCTGGAGGGGATTTTTATTGTAGTGCGCTACACTTATTTACAACAGAGTTTGATAGAGGAAAGTTGCGTTCATTCTCTATCTCTTTGATCACAGGAACAGGTAATTTAGTTATTGTAAAACATGCACGTGACTAGTACGATGCTCTGCGACACAAAAGAGAGAGCATATTTTCAGTTCTGGAAAGATATGTACATTCATAGAACTATACAATCATTATCTTCTTTAAGAATGATTTAACCAAAATATTAATTTGAACATATTGCAAACGAAAGTCTCACAAAACTATGCAAGTGAAAATTAATGTGACTACTGTATTTTTACTTTCCTGCATACGCACGTATATACGTAGTAACATACGTAGTATAGAGAAAATGAAGTAATGCTGCGGAAAATCGATTTCGAGATTTCAATGGAAATAAGTTTTGGGTTCCCCGATACCGAAAAACTGTTGTATTTCAAAACACCCGTCTGCCCGTCCGTCCGTGTATCCCCATCCGTCTGTCCGTCTGCCCGTCCGTGCGTCTGTCTGCCCATCCGTCCGTCTGCCCGTCCACAGAAGCATAATATTTTTGTTTAAATAATGTTTTGCAGCATAGAGACAGTCAGATATTATTTTTGACAGAAAAGAATATATAGAAACAATCTGTATTATGTTTTTGTGCAGAAATAACGTTCAATACACAAAATGGATTTCTACCTACATCTGAAATGCATGTTTGTATAATATTGTAATAAACTTCAATAGCATAAAAAGATCTAGGAAATTTTCGCCTTCAAAATTCGTTTTCGACAAATTGTTTTTTTTATTTTTATTTTTTACTTTACAGTTACGAAATCTCACTGTAGAATGAATAAAATATCTACGTAGACTGGGAATCGTATGCGGTGCTTCGAGTTCTACATCTTGAAACTGAGCCATTCTTTCGCACTTCTAATACTCCTCTTATAATAACATACTTTATATTGATAAAACTTAAAAGAAACATTACGTTTACAAAAATTTATGTCAATTCAGTTTCACTGGCAGGAATCGATGACGTCTTTTTCCTCTGTACTACTACGATTTAGCTCTCAATGGACGTTAAAGAATTGTATACGCTCTCGAATAAAATAAACTTAATCTTTATAGTTCAACCTACAGATCGTAGTTTTGAAAATATACGTTAGATAGCGCTGTCGGTAAGCAGAGATGTCCAGCGCCATCAACCAATCGGGGCAAAGCATTTTCGACGCGGGACTTTAATGTTTCCAAGAGGTACATTTGTGACACGAAACTCGGCTACGGACTAGGTACATTCTTGCTTGAAGTGGAAAGGAAATTCTTTTTGTATTATTCTAGAAAGATTTGGATTGTAAGTTGCCAAACTGAAATAACTATTTTATGTTGAAATCTCTACCTTCACCTCATTTCATATATTTCACTTATTACATTTCGATGGACCTACTCTTTTTTTCTCTATACACTTCAATTTTGAAGTTGTTTTATCAACGTCGTATTCATGCCATAGACCAGATATTATTATTTAATCTGTGTTATTGAACCCCCTTGCGTGTGATTTGGGTTTTAATATCAAATTCTTAATTAGCAATTCTGTAACCCTTTTAAACGCTTTAAAATTGTACATATTCCTTGTCACGTTCTGCATCCTAATTCTGCTTTCAGACAAACATTTTCATACAATTTGTTGTTGTTGTTGTTGTTGTTGTTGTTGTTGTTGTTGTTGTTTTGAAGATCCAGATGTGTAATACAGTACATAAGAGTTATTGCACAGTTCATTGATTTTATACTGAAGTTTAATATTAACTAGTGGTGCTAAAACAGCACGTACTTTCTCGAACGTATTTTTACGCAAAATTTCTCGAAAAGTACTAAAATTACAGAAAAAATTGTACATGATATTACTACAATATCAATCTTTAAAGGACAGTTTTCATTAAGGAAAAAATCTCTACCTTCATAATTGAAGTTGTATGAAGATGCTAAAAAAATGTCAAGTTTTGCAATTTTTCGAAAAATCAGGGTTTTTAACGATCATGAGACCGACACTATTCTCTTAAACGTTTTTACACTATCAAACAATAAAATTTAATTAAAAACAATGGAGCCATTTTTTTTAAATTAGAAAAATGTCCCAGTGTCTTCGTATAAAGTACTCCCGAAAATTAAAATATCGGTTTCAATTCAAGGGGCCGCGACATAAGGCAGATCGATGAGGAAATATCAATTTTAGAAAAACTCGCCGAACATTGTCAGCTGAACAACGCTAACAACATTGTTCACAGACGGACAGACACACGACGGGCAGACTGACGGACAGACTTGTGTTTGAAATTGACCACGTTCTTTCTCCCAAAAATGTTCCTCACTTGGGATCACTCGTTTTTCAACCCTGAGTTTCACTTGTTTTTTAATAATAAATTTACTTGTATTCCGAATTCTCTTATCACGTTAAAAAGCACTTCATACCATATTTTTTAATGCTTCAGTTAATGTTTTACTGTCAATCGTTTACTGTCTATATTTTTCACTGTCAATCGTTTAAAAATATATCTTCTTCAGTTCCAAACTCCATTTCGATTTATTAAAATAACCATAATTCTTAATAATGAAATTTGCAATACTGTTATCCTCCGTAAGTCTTTCGCAAATAAAAAGGTCACAATAATCCAGTTTTTACTGAAAATTGCAAAGGTATCATCTGCGGCTTTTGATATTGATTATTTTAGTAATCTAATATTTTACTACACGTGCAGCGCGTAAATACTTATTCACGAGCGGGTTTCCGAATGCAAAAATATAGATGTCACGTATGTCCAAAGAACGATGTATCACATTACACAAATTGAAACGTACAACAGATGCGATGAATCACAAGAGCGACAGTCGAGGGAGGCGTCGCGGTGCCTACCAGATGGAGCTATCGAAACAGCTCCAGCGCTGTTTCATCGGCTGGCGGGCATTCGACAACTTCACCAACAAGCCCATCCGCCCAGAAGAGGGTTAATTGGTTCATTCATTTAGTCTTGCTTCAATTAGAAAATGAAAATTAATGTGATGTCGGCATCAAGTTGATACCTAGTTGCAAGATTTTATTTCCGTCGCGGAATAATTCTAAAAATACCGTGTGTATCATGTGTATGCAAAATGTGTAAAAGTCGTTTGTGTACCTGACGGCATATTCTTTCGGTTGCAGGTATGAGAACGGATACATGTTAGCATAGGCGGCCAAATCAATTCAGAATTGGCGACACGCTTGGAACTCATTCAGATTGGCAAATCCTTGAGTTAAAGAAGCAAAGATGATACATTTCAAACTTCCCGCGTTCTAGATAGCCCCAAAGCTCAAAAATTCTCTCACTAGTAGCACAAACTTCATTTTATATGAAACACTTTGAAATAAACTTTTAAACAGCTTCCAAATGTCACCAGTAGATCGCACCACCTCCTGGCCTGCCGGCAACGAAGCTCTGCACATTGTAGTAACATTCCGGAATCCAATTTTCACATAAGTCACAAGATCGCATTGTTTGAGAATCTGAAGTCGCGAGCAGTTTCGCAGCATCGTGTACAGTCCCTGGCCATATTATTAGACGCACCCTAAATTTTCAATAAAATTCACGTTTTTGCGACGAAAAATGTTTTTTTTTTATTTCTAACGAAATACATAAGTCATAATTGAATACTTACGATAGAAACAAGATATCATATGCAAAATAATGACTGTCACTATAATATATAAACTAATTTTCATACAAAATCTCCATGCACATGTATATCTTGAATACTTTGTCAAGCCACCTTTGGCGGATATTAGAGCTTTAATTCTTTTTGGTATGATATTAATGCATGCCTGGACAGTTTCTTGCAACTCTGGATGATGGTACCAGACTTGAATTATATTCAAGGAGGCGAATTTTTGTTGTTATTTCTTAATTTGCGATTTCCCTCTTTATGAGCTCCCAAACATTTTCTATTGGGTTCATATCTGGTGAATTTCCTGACCATGGTAACACAGGAACATTTTTCTCCAACAAAAATGATCGAACTGTTCGAGCAGTATGACATGGAGCCCCATATTGCATAAAATCAAATGATTCTTCATTTGAGAACCATTCCTGTAGTTGAGGCAGCAGTCGTTTCTCCAATACTTGCTTGTACTGGTCTTGTTTCATGATGCCCTTAACCAAGTACAGACACCCCTTGCCATTGCCACTGATCACTGAGCAAATCATTGCCTTGTCTGGATGTTTCACAATCTGGATGACACAATCTGAATGATACTTTTCACGAGGGCGCCTTCTTACAAATTGATGCTTGTTTGCTAGAATTTCGAAAGTGCATTCGTCGCTAAAACGAACCTTAAATACAAGTAAATGACATTAGAATTAATTTTGGTAGCCATTTATACTTATAAAAAAAGCACTAGACTTTTTTTTACCGATTTCCAGAAGACCAAATCTTTATTTTTGAGGTTCTTAGCCCATGCAAGACGTTTTTCTTTCATACCAGCTATTAATCTGGGTTTGTGGGCTGGTCTACAAGCTTTAAAATTCATTTGTAGTAGTGTACACCTTACTGTCCTTTCAGATACACAGATTCCACTACTTTCCAATTTAAATTTAATTTCTTTGGTAGTAGCAAACCGGTTTTCACGGCAAATCTTCCTCAAACATCTCTCAGATATTGGTGAAAATATTCTCTTCCGTCCACATGTGTTCTTCCTTCGTGGGGATAATTCTTCACCAAGGACAATTTTTTTTCTTAATTCGCCGAATAGATGTCTCGGATACGTTCAACCTTCGAGATAACTCACGATTTGGATAATTTTCAAATCGACAAAAGCTTTTACTACTGCGATCTTCCGATGAGACAAATCACTTGCCTTTCCCATTATTTTTATTCAAAACTATCAGTTTTTGGTGCACAACAATTCACAATTTTTAAATAAACACGGCTATACCTATTTCACAAACTAATAAATGGAAAATAAACCATCTTCATGCAACAACACACTACTCATGTCACCGCTTGTTCTACTCAACTCTTGTAATTTGTGCGTCTAAGCAACAATGAGGTGTCACAACAATGGTACATAATGACAAATAATGTGTTAATTATTAGAAAAAGAAGCTTTGTTTTTATTGATTGATTCGCAACAATGTCAAATGTAATGTACTGCAGTGAGAGACTTCAAAACTTAACATTTTGTTAAAAATTTGGAGTGCGTCTAATAATTTGGCCAGGGACTGTACGTAAGTAATACGCGTATTGAGCACATTGAAAGTTGGTTGGTACGTTGGCAGCAAGCATTATCATGCAGTCTTCGTGTACCAGCGCATCGAAACGCTGTAAAAGAAGCACAAAGCGCGAATAACGTAAGGAGAACACTTATTTTCATCCAGTCAATAGTAATTCGTCCAGATAAAGAGTTTAATGTCTCTTTAAAGTAAGATGGAAAGTATGAATCTTTAAGAAACAGTCATACTTGCTGTAAGACGTAAATTGTCACTGCAATGATGCGAGAAAACTACCAATAGACGTTACATGTTTTTTTTGAAGATTTTTTAGAATTTATTCTTGCTTGGCATGTGGTCCTCAGTGGCCGCGAAAGACTGATTCAGTAATTGATTTTTTTATACAGCAAGTTTACAAGTTTTTATCGTGGTTATTTCATTTCAGAAGCCCTTTATATTATACGGTAAGGATAATCGTTTCGAGTCTGCTTAAGGAGGGTCAAAAATTTCTCTGGGTAATTTCCTTCTCAAACGTTTCCATCAGGGTTTCTGTTTACCTACTTTGAAATGGACAGCTGAAGGTATTCGGGAAATTTTCTTATAGAATTTTTCGAATAGATGGGAAAAATGTACAATGATGGGAATGATACCAAGTTCTTGATGCAGTTGAGAGTTAGGGATAAAGCTTGGTGCTTTTGTGATTATTTTGGAACGTTTGGATATTGTGAATATTGGTTTTGGATGCTGCAGCCCAGATTGGAGATGCACAATATAATATAGGTCGTATAATTGTTAGGTAGAGATGAATGGATGTGTGTAATTGAAGTGGGGATGATTTATTAAGTAAGGGATATAACTGATGTTTTTCTAGTGGGGAATGCAATTCAGTTCATGATATTTGATCTCCATGTGAGTCGTCTGTCAAATAATATTCATAGGTATTTTACCGTGGCGTTTGCTGAAAACCAAGCACTGTTATGGTTTTGAAAGGTGAGTTTGGGTGGGTCTAGGGGTCTTCGAAGAGTGAATATTCCGATCGGAGAATTCAGTCTGCTGCCCCAAACTATGTTTCGCATTCCAGTCGCCGACAATTAGGGTTGGTTCGTTGGCAGTAAGTAGCGTCTCAATATCGCCTGGCATGTATGGGATATTTGGAGGTTTGTAAATCGATATTATTTTGAGTGCACAATATGTATTCTGCTGTAGGACTACCCTTATATTCTCGAAAGTGTTGGTTTGTATTGTTTTGGTTCATTGATTGCACGTGTTGTAATATATTATTTTTAGAAAATATAGCGACTCCTCCACTGCGTTTTTTCCGTGGGCGGTCATAGCGATGTTATTCGTACCCTGCAATGTAAATCTCGATCGAGGGACTCACGAGTGTTTCTTGATTACATGGATTTAATTGCTATGAACAATGTGTGCTAGTGAAAGAATGTTAGGTCGTAGCCATTTGCATTCCACGATATTATACGGAGTAGATGGGGTGGGGAATACATTGCTTTTTGGATAGTACGATGTCAAAGATTGAAGAATTGAGTTTGTGAGGGCTGGCAGAATTTTATTTATAAGGTTAGTAAGGAAATGTATTTGTTGAGGGATCAATTGCGTTCTTTCGGGTGGATATTGATAATTTAGATGATAAGAAGATTTTAAAAAATCTGAATATAAAGGACGTAAATTTGGTTGGTATGATTTGGGTTGGTCGGTTGGAGTGCTCTGCGTGCGGGGTCGGGGAGGGGGGTGCTTGGGGGTGGTGTGTGTGTGGCAGAGGTTGTTGCAGTGGGAGTAAAGGAATTCATGAAATGGGTCTTGGGAATTGTAGGGTTTGATGTTGGGTAGGGTAGTGAGAAAGAAGTGCTTCTCTGGTTAGCATTTCGCATTCGTGAATGGATACACGATGAGCCTTTTCGCAATGTACACACATTATCACATCGTTTGCACAGTCACTTGTGGGATGTAGGCCTGAACACTTGCCGCAGCGTGGGGGATAACCGCAGTCCTTTTTAGTGTACCCGTAAGCTTGACATAGACAGCACTGTACTGGTCCTGGTCTATGGCGCCTTTTTTCTACAGAGATTTTTGCGTTAAAGAGGTTTCTCAGTTTGTAGATTTCCATTCCAGCACTGGTTTTTTGAGAGAGTAACTGCGCACAAGGGCCACGATTTCCGTTTTGAGGTTGTCAGTCCTATGACTGTTATTACAGAATAGCTTTTGGCGACGAGTTCTTGAAAGATCTTCTGTGTATAAGATTGGTACATTTCTTAATACTATTTAAATAGTTGATGTTGTTGGAACTCGATACGTATGGCAATATAGTCTTTTGTTGATAGGGTTTCTCGTAATGTGGTGAAATCATCTTTACAGTCGTGTCATGGTCTCCGAGCTGTGAGAACGTATTTCCTAAGCGCTCCGAGGATCACCGCAGGTAGTTGTCAGTGAGCGACGCAGCAGGGAGTTTTGTTGAGCAGTAGGATCGGAAGTGAAGAGCGCCGCGCACATCGCCAGTGTCTGCTTGGTATAATCTAATTATAACCACAATATTTTTAATATATTGCTAATTTTTTATATATTGTTAATACTTTTAGTTTTTTCCTAAAAGTAATTTTCATAAAAGTAAGATCGTTTTACCCCTACTTTTTCGACATCATGACCACACGCAACGCTAAAGCGAATGACGCTGTCTCTGCTTCGCTTATTGAAAGCAACCTGACATCGGATGTTTTCATAAGCAAAATTTCACAGGTTGTTTCTGAAGCTGT